TGACCCGGGGGGGGGGGCTACCCCCCCCCCCCTCCCGGCGGGGGAGGGATGAAAGGGAAGGGGCTTCCCTTCGACTCAATTACGAGGTTGCTCAAGGTCGGCTTGGCTGGAGCCCAGGGGAAGAGGAGTCCCAGGGGGGGGCGTCGTATCTGACCCGGGGGGGGGGTCGCTACCCCCCCCCCCTCCCGGCGGGGGAGGGATCAAAGGGAAGGGGCTTCCCTTCGACTCAATTACGAGGTTGCTCAAGGTCGGCTTGGCTGGAGCCCAGGGGAAGAGGAGTCCCAGGGGGGGGCGTCGTATCTGACCCGGGGGGGGGGTCGCTACCCCCCCCCCCCTCCCGGCGGGGGAGGGATCAAAGGGAAGGGGCTTCCCTTCGACTCAATTACGAGGTTGCTCAAGGTCGGCTTGGCTGGAGCCCAGGGGAAGAGGAGTCCCAGGGGGGGGCGTCGTATCTGACCCGGGGGGGGGGTCGCTACCCCCCCCCCCTCCCGGCGGGGGAGGGATCAAAGGGAAGGGGCTTCCCTTCGACTCAATTACGAGGTTGCTCAAGGTCGGCTTGGCTGGAGCCCAGGGGAAGAGGAGTCCCAGGGGGGGGCGTCGTATCTGACCCGGGGGGGGGGTCGCTACCCCCCCCCCCCTCCCGGCGGGGGAGGGATCAAAGGGAAGGGGCTTCCCTTCGACTCAATTACGAGGTTGCTCAAGGTCGGCTTGGCTGGAGCCCAGGGGAAGAGGTCTCCCAGGGAAAGGGAAGGACAGAGACGACGAGTACAAAGAATGACGGAGATGACGGCTCGAACGGAAAAGCCCCTCACACACGCCGACAGGGTCGGCGGATTTTGTGTCGTAACGCCTCTCTTGCCATCGCCGCCGCCGCCTTTGCCAAAGGATCCAGAGAGGCAGGTGGCCCCACCGCGCCTCTCTCGGGCTCAAAGGCGCGTGGCGGCTATTTGCAAGGCAAAGAGCAGCTCCAACCATGTCTGGCGTGATTTCCCTCGGGGTTGGAGCTGCTCGCTGTGTGGCAGACTTGTGTTTCGGACGCAGAGTTGTGTCCTGCCCAGGCTGCGCTCTGCGTGCTTGGCCCTTTCAAGTTCCCTTGCATCTCTGCCTGTGGTGCCCCCTCGCGCGGCGGTTCGCCTTCCCCGTGGGTTTGAATCCTTGCCACCCTTTGATGAGCAGCTCTTCCGTTTTATGGGCTGGCCCGACCCCCCCGCTCGGTTTGAGGGGCAGGGTTGGAGAGGCCACCCACTCCACGGCTCCCACTCTCTCTGGCAGAGGGGCGGTTTTGTTTTCTGTGGACCTTGCGGGAGGTACGCCGAGGGCACCCCCAAGCTCCTGACTCAGGAGTGCGAGTGCGTTCGGTTTGGACGTTTCTCCCTCACTGAGGCCCAGTACACCGCTATAGTGAGAGTTCGGAAGAGGTTGCCCCCCCCGTAGGGGAACAAAGGAGTGGGGCAAAAGGCCAGAGTGTCTGGACCCCTCGTGAGGTCGTCAGTTTTCCTGTCTGGTAGACCCAGTGCTCTGGCGCCGGAGTCTAGCAAGGCAGCTGCATCTAGCAACAAAAAGTCGTCGTCGTCGTCGTCGCGCCAACTACACGTGGCCAGCAAGGCTGATGTATCCCCAAACCAGGTACGATCGGAAACGAAGGGGGCGTGGGCGGGTGGGATACGCATGCTGAATGATACGCGGTCAACGAAGAGCAACCGGTCTTACACTGATGGTCGTTGCTGTTGTCGGAGTCCTCAGCGTCCTCGTCCTCGCCTCGTCGTCGTCGCTGCGGTCGGAGTAGATGGGGTCGGAGGATCGCGCCGCGTCGCCGATGCATCGCCGATGCATCGCCGATGCGGCTCGATGTGGAGCCCGATGTTCTCCACTCCGACGGCGCCGATGCATCCCCGACGTCGCCGATGCGTCGGCCAGGCAGCGGCGATGTATCGCCGATGCATCGCTGATGCGGCTCCATCCTCCGATCTCATCTGTTCGGACCCCATCTGGGAGACCTCCAGTTGCTGAAGCAGCTGCTTGCGCAGTCTGGGAGGAGAAGGAGGAGGAGGAGGAGGAGGAGGAGGAGGAGGAGGAGGAGGAGGAGGAGGAGGAGGAGGAGGAGGAGGAGGAGGAGGAGGAAAAGGAAAAGGAGGGAAAGGAGGAGGAGGAGGAGGTCAGCTGGCGCCCTCTCCTGGGCGCCCCGTGGCAGGCCGCCGCGCGCCTCGTGGGCGCCCCGAGAGCTCGCACCGCGCACGGCTCGCACCACGCGGGTTGTCACCACTCGGCTTGCACCGCATGGCGCGCAGCACACGGCCTGCACCGGGCACGCGGTGCCACACAACTTGCACCGCATAGCCTGCACCGCACAGCGTGCACCAGGTGCGCTGCACCACGTGGCCTGCGCCGCTCGCACCACGTGTGTTGCACAGCATAGCGTGCAGCGCGCAGATTGCACCACGTGTATTGCACATCGCGGCTTGCACCACACAGCTTGCATCAGACAGCCGGCGCCGCACGCACTGCACCACATAGCTTACCCCACACAGCGCGCACTACATGGCTGGCGCATCAGTAGCGCAATAGCTTACTGTGTAGGGTCCACGCTGGCAAGCATGTTTGTCGGTAGTACGCTTTCTCGTCCTTCCTGGGCCTCCTGGGGTGCCCCTGGTCGCCATCGGCCAGATCTGTGTCGAAGTCGTCGTCGGGACGCACCCCAGGGACTGGGGAGGGGTCCCTCACGAGACCGAACAATCCAGATCCCCAGGCCGGCCTTCGAGGTTCGAGTTTTTACCAACCGCCATCTGCTGTGGGGCAAGTGTTTTCTCTCCACTGCGCCGCGCGTCTCCCTCCCTCCTCCCGCGTTGCTCCCGTCCCTCCTCTTTGCCACGTGTGGAACGTGGCCACGACAGCGACCGCACGATTGAGCACCAACAATGGTGTTCAGCGTGTGTGCTCCAGTGGACACGGACCAGAGACACAGTTTCACAGGGTCTGGATTCGTGTTGCCAACAAGGGCTCGTCGGCCTGCACCTTGTCCGACGGGTTCCTCGCCGATGCATTCAGCCAGCACGAGGCATCACAGCGTTTCTGGTTGAGAGGGCTCCTCCCAGCGAATTGGGCGGAGATCCCGCCACCATGTCTGGAGCCCGACTGGCAGTGCTCAGGCAGCGTCAAGTCAGTGGAGAAGGGAACGGAATCGGCACAGTAGACAGGCCGATCTGTATGATCGGCAATGCCAGCGGAGGCAAAGACACGATGGACCTCAGGCTCCGAAGAGTGGGAGTTGCCGTCGTCAAAGTAGAGCCCCCATGGCACCAGGGGCGTACTGATGATGCACCCTTGCCTGTTCTAGGCACGGTGCGCGAACCCCTGGTAGAACCGAGGCAGGCCGGTGCTAAGGGGGGGAGTGGTTTGGCCTCAGGCTGGCCTGCCAAACCACCAGGGGCTGTTCAGTGTCACAATGTGTATAAGTGTTGGCATGGGTGTTGTCTCGGCCTGGCATACTGAGACGTATTTGGCCCCTGAGGGCCAGGACGCGGACCTCTAGGAAAAGCTTCGCCGGGAGTATCAACAAAGTCGCGACCCGTCATGTGTAGCCGTGCCGCTCATCGGCATTCACATTGCTGGGGTTGCTGCACGTAAGACTCTTCATCCAGCGTGAGCGATCTTAGGGAATGCGGCCACGGATTGCAGAGGCCGGGATTGCGCCTGATCAGTGCGCAGTTGCAGAGAGCCGTCGTGCTCGTCTCCACCTGGTTGAAAGAAAAGCTTTCCTGGTTCGACAACGTCCGTTGAGAGCCACACGTGGCGCCACAGGAACGCGGACACATACGTCCGTGCGGAGGAGCGCGAGAAGAGCAGCAGGTCCCAGGAGGGCAGCGAGGTACGGCCTGTCCCTCCCACCTGGCCTCGCGCAGTCCTCGTTTTTGAAGCAGTGGCGAAGCGTCATGGCGTACCTATAGGGCTGCCAAACAATGTTCCAAGAACCTTTTGTGGTCTCCACGAAATACTCTTGGAACATTTCTGGCTGGGACTGTCTTGCTTTGACACATCGCATTTGTGTTCTAAGAACACTGCTTTTGTTCTTAGAACATGTTTGGGTTATAAGAGCAGTTCGTGGTAGGTCTATGGGAATGCCGGGACGGTCGGTCCCTGCTCAAGTTTCGTTGTGCGAAGCATGTCATGAATGAGGGTGACCCTTCGTGCACCATATGTTTCACAACACATCCAAAGAAGGTCTGTTCGAGTGGAGGCACAATCCGCGCCACGATTCGACTACTCTGGGCGTATTCTTCCTCTCACCGAGGGAGCTTGTCTACACCTGACGGGGGGGCTGACATATCTCATCAAATACAGTGCCATTCTGGGCTTAAAAGGTGTGGTTCTGGTAGGGTGTGAGTTTTACAGCTCGCTCCACTTAATTAATTTAGGCGATCCCGATTCAGAGAATACTTCCAGCCACAGGCACACTTTACTCATTAGAATACAGCCGTTCACAGGTTGCCCAAGGTTTGTAAGCAAGGCTGAGAAGGTCAAGCGAGGGCTCCTCCAGTGGTCTAGTCGGTCGGAGCGAAGGGTGGGGGGAGAGGGGGAACGTGGCGCGCGTGGCGCGGCCGCCCCCACGTTCTCAAGGGCCGCGGGAGGAGGGCCCCTCTCGCCTCTCTCCTCCGTGGACCACATGACTTAGCCATCGCCTCACTCACTCACTCCTCCTCTCCCCGCCGATGCTTCTGCTTCGGCATGCCCGTCACGCGGATCGCGCCATGTCGGCACGCCCGTCACGCGGATCTTGCCCCACTGGATAATTCCATTTGCGGCCCCAGTTGGCGCGGCCGCATGTGTACCTCCGCCCAACACGACGCGCCCCTGACGCGGATCGTGCCCCACAGGGATCTCCGTAACGACGGTGATGAGGAGGAAAACAAGGTGACGAGTTCAGTTGGAGCAGTCGGAGGCGTCAGCTGCATTGATGGCGGCGGCGGAGGCGACCCTGCTCCCCGGAATCGAGGGAAGGGGAGGGTATTGCGCATCCGGCTGAAGCAGGACTTGCGCCGCATCGGGTCGCCTGTCATGCCGAGACGCCCTCTGCTCCTGGGAATAAGGGGACGGCTGATGGACAAAATCCTGTATCTTTCTGTTGATTTCTGTGAACACCCCCGCGCCCCCAATTTGACATTGGCGGGTTGCGCCGCGATGTGTCGATCCATCGACTGGCCGAACTCATGCGCCCCCCCGGCGATGCCAACCAACATTGAATGGGGGGCAGGGGGGCGCGTTGAAGCTTGCGCCGGCACCCCGGTCGCGCGGGTGTGCAGGAATGCCTCCATCAACCAGATGGGGCCAAGGGGGAGAGAAGCAGAAGCAGAAGAGGGGCTCTTTTTGGGATGGTGCCTCCCGTCGAGCTCGCCCCCGAAGGGTCCGCCCAGCTCGGGGCGGCTGTCGAGAAGCCCTCCCTGGCGCAAGACCGCCGCGGGTTGCCGCGCTCTCGATCCCTCCCGCCTCGCGCCCGTGGCTGGCATTGAGGAGGCCCGCCCGCTCGAGGGGCGCCCCCGGGCGGCGCGCGGGGCTGTCCCTCCGGGCTCAGGGAACGGGTCCGCGCTGATGGGGGTCAGGCAGCCCATTTGGCTGCCTCAGGTTTGGGAGCCACGTGGGGCCAACTCCCTCTCCTCCTCCTCCTCCTCCTCCTCCTCCTCCTCCTCCTCTCCTCCCCTTCCCTCCTCCTCCCCCCTCTCCCTCCTCCCTCCTCTCCCCTCCTCCTCCCCCTCCCCTCCTCCTCCTCCCCCTCCCCCTCCTCCTCCCCCTCCCTCTCCTCCTCCTCCTCCTCCTCCTCCTCCCGACGGGGCCCTGCCCGGCCCGACTTTGTGCCGACCTGGGGTCAGTACGTCCCCGATTCCCGACGCGAGGTCGCCCGGGCAGACCGCAATCCGGGGCGCGCTCGCGCGCCTCATCGCGAGTGGGGCCTCTCTTTGCCATCGAATGCCGTTCCTCGAGGCCTCCCAGATGGGGTCCGATGCGGCTCGACGGAGAGCCCGAATTGCTTCACGTCGACGTCGCCGAAGCATCGCCCACGTCGACGATGCATCGCCGGAGCATCGCCGAGGTATCGCCGCGCCCACATCTACACCGACCCCATCTAAGAGGCCTCTAGTTCCTGCTCCTCCGCATCTTTCTTCCCTTCTCTTTGCTTGTCGTCGTCGTCGTCGTCGTAATCCTCTTTCTCCCACCCGTGTCGTCGCGGCCTCTTGGCCAGGGGCCGTGCAAGAGCGTCGGGGCAGGAGGTGGCCAGGTTAGAAGCCCACCTGGGGCACGATGCCCACGTGTTCGTGCCGCACGTGGTTGCTTCGCTTTCGTCATCCGCCCTCCTCGCCCTCGTTTTTCACTTCCCTCCCTGCATCATGCTCCCTCTGCCCTTTTCCTTCCTTCCCTCTCTTCCCTCCCTCCCTGTCGGAAGCTGGGGTCGGCAGGTGTGCCTGGCAGTTTCACCGATTCGCGGTGGCGTTTTCCAGCGGGGTCCCCCGCGTCATCCCAGGCAGGAGGCGTGTCCTGGATGGACGATGATGGTTCAGAAAGGGTGGTGGGGTGGAGTGAAAGGGTGGGAGACAAAAGACGAGTCCCTCGTTCCGCCTCCCGTCTTCTCTCTTCCTCATTCTGCCTTCCTCCCCCCTCACTCCTGCTCCTCCTGCTCCTGCTCCTCCTCCTCCTCCTCGTCGTGCTCCTCCTCCTCCTCCTCGTCGTGCTCCTCCTTGTGTTCCTTGTGCTCCTGCTCATGCTCCTCGTTCTCCTCCGCTTCGCAGTGCTCCTCCTCCTCTCCCTCCTCCTGCTTCTCCTCCTTCTTCACTCCTCCTCCTCCTGCTCGTCCTCCTCCGCCTCCTCCTCCTCGGCATGCTCCTCCTTTACCTCCTCGTCTTCGCATTCCTTCTCCTCCTCCCTCCTCCTCCTCTTCCTCCTGCTCCTTCTGCTCCTTCTCCTCCTCCTCCTCCTCCTCCGCCTCCTCCTCCTCCTCCTCTTCCCTTCTCTTCTCCGCTTCCTCCGCCATGCCAGGGATGACTTCGCACTCTTGATTCCGCTTCCAGGAGGCACCCTCGTCAGGGATGCCCTCAAACGGGCAACGCCTGAGCCTGGCCCCGTCCCCCTCCATTATTCCCCTCGCGCAGCATCTCGGAGCTCCTTCCCCCTCCCTTTCGCCTCCCCGATCCTGCCTCTTCCCTGCCCCCCCCGCGCTCTGGCCGAGGCATCGCCTCGATGTGCTCCAGCACGGCTCCTCCCCGACCAGCCCCTGGCAACCTACCAGGGCATCGTGCCCGCGCCTCGGCGCCACCTCCTCGGTCGGGCCAGGGGCGCCCAGGCCTCTGCCAGAGCACAGTTCGACAACAGAAATGCAATCAAATTCTTCGTTCCTCCCTCCTCCCCTCCTCCGTCCTCCCTCCTCCCTCCTCCCTCCTCCCCTCTCCCCTCCCCCCTCCCTCTCGGAGCCCCAAGCTTCAAGGATCTGTCAAGCGAAACCGGCCAAACCACCTCTGGCGCGGCATCTCGGAGCCCAGTTGCGAGGATGTTTCGTGCGAAGCGGGCCAGACCACCCCGCGCACGTCTTCAAAGAGCCTGGAGTTGTGAGGATGTCCCAGGCGGGACACGCCAGACCACCTCGCGCGCAGCATCTCGGAGCCGGGGATGTCTCAGGCGGAACGGGCTTGACCACCTCGCGTGCGACATCTGGGAACCCAGAGTTCCGAAGATGTCTCAGGCGGCGCCCAGGCCCCTCCCACAGCACATTCGACAACACATGTGTAGTCTTATGATTCGTTTGGGCCTGACTCCTCCCACTCAGAGCCCTGGGTTTCGAGAGTGGGACGTGCGACACCTGGGAGCTCTGAGTTCTGAGGATGTCTCAGGCGGCGCCCATACCCCTCCCAAAACACAAACCGACAACATATGTGTAGTCACATGATTCGTTTGGGTCTGATTCTTCCTCCCTCTCAGAGCCCAGAGCTTCGAGGATGGGAGCCCCCAGCCGCGAGGATGTCTCAGGCGAAACGGGCCGGACCACCTCGCGTGCGACATCGGGGAACTCAGAATTCCGAGGATGTCGCAGGCGGCGCCCAGACCGCTCCCAGAGCACAGTTCGACAACAGAAGTAGAATCAACTGTTTCATTAGGGTCCGACCCCTCCTCCCGCACATGGACATTATATTCGAACCCTGTGGCCCAAGATGCCCCGCAGACCCCCCGACATTAATATTGATGGCGTGACGACGGGGGGGGGCGTGAGTGGACAGAGGTATTCGAACCCCAAAGCACCGCCTTTACTGATATCAACATTGATGTCGGGGGCGTGGGGGCGAGGGTTCGAATAGATTGTCCATTTACTGTTCCTCCTTTCTCCTCCATGTCGGAGCCCAGAGTTGCGAGGATGCTCAGGCGAAGCGTGCCGGACCGCCTCTCCCGCAGCATCTCGGAGCCCCGAAGTGCAAGGGTATTTCAGGCGAAACGGGCCACACTTTTTCCGTCAGCGGCGAGGCGGCGAAGTCCGCTCCAGCGAGAAGCTAGATATGGGGCACGAACTAACGAATTGGCCGGCGAGCAAAGAGGGAGGGGGGAGGCCGACGAGAGGAAAGAGGGACGCTCGAACGCCGAAGACTTCGACGATTAGCAGGCGGCGGGCAGCAGCAGGCCTGTGCGCCGGGCCAGAGCGCGGTGGGCGGCCAGAAACGGGCCACACACCCTTGTGCACATTTTCTCTGAGCTCAAATTTGCAAGGATGTCCCAGGCGACGCGAGGTGGACCACCTCTCGCACAGCATCTCGGAGCTGTGGGGCGCGAGGGTGTCTCAGGCGAAACGGACCCGATCACCTCGCGCTCGGCAGCTCGGAGCGCAGATTTGCGAGGATGTGTCGGGCGAAACGGGCCGGACCGCCTGGCGCGCGGCATGTCGGAGCTCCGAGTTGCGAGGATGTCTCAGGCGAGACAAGCCAGACCATTTTGCGCGCGGCATCTTGGAGGCCAGAGTTGCGAGGATGTCTCAGGCGAAACGGGCCGGACCACCGCGCGCGCGGCATCTCGGGGCTGAGAGTTTCAGGGATGTCTCAGGCGAAACGGCATGGACCACCTCGCACGCGGCGTCCTGGAACCCATATTTTCGAGGATGCCTCAGGTGGAACGGCCCGGAACATACCTCGCGCGGCATCTCGGGGCTTAGAGTTTCAAGGATGTCTCAGCCGAAACGGCCCACACCACTTCGCGCGCGGCGTCCCCAAAGCCCAGACGTTCGAGGATGTCTCAGGTGAAACGGCCCAGAACACCTCTCGCACTGCATCTTGGGGTTTACTTACCGCTTCGAGGATATCTCAGGCGAAACGGCCCGGAACATTTCGCGCACGGCGTCCTGGAGCCTACTAAAACCTAGATGCATGAATGTCTCCAGCGAAAAGGCCTATCCCAGACGCTTCGGAAACGAGAGCTGTGAGGATGTCTCAAGCGAGACGGCTGGGAATAATACGTTTGTTTGAGGATATGTTTCCCCTTCTCTCGGCCATAGTCAGCTTCTACCACAGCAGCACCCATTTCAGCAAACTGTTTGGTGAATGAAAACAAACATACACATTTAAATGCAATGATATGTATACGGTAAAAGGGGAGAGTGTAAACAACATAAGGATGATGCGGATGAGGTGGATGTGGCTGATGATGGTGAGGAAAACGAAAAGAAAGAGGAGAAACATCAGCCTGAGGAAGGACCCAACCATATGCAGTTGCGAGTGCTGCATTGCGGGTACCGCTTTCGGTGGAGCCCCCTGTGGGGCCACGAAACGTGCGAGGGGTGCGCTGAAATCTGTGGCGAGGACGCATGTGGACGCCGCCACTGGGGCCTTCGGTCGAGCTCCCAATGGGGCCACGAAACGTTGTCATTGGTTGGGGAGGCGCATGCGAACTGTGCCATTGGGACCTTCGCTGGAGCTTCTTATGGGGCCACGGAACGTTGTCATGGGTGGGGGAGACGCATGCGAACGGCGCCACTGCCGAC